GGGGGGGGGTAGGGATCTTTTTCTACTGCCTACCTTATGAAACAGTCTCTTTCAAAATGATAATCCCAAAATCTCAAACAAACTCATTGCGCAAGCCGATCTCTAGGAGGGAGCCTGAGATTCCAATTGTTGTTTTGAGATACCCATTTAAACCCCTTTTGCCCGTCAGGAATTCAGTTGACACCTTTTACCAAGTAAAGCGGCAGTGGGCATGAGTCATTTTAATTAATTAATAATTTTTCAGTTATTGTTTAAATGAAAGCCAGTTTCATGTAGGGTGAAGAGTGAAATAAATAAACGCAATTTACTTGAAAAAGTTGGGTATCAAATACAAATAAGTGCTTATTTTAATAAATTATTGTTTTCAAACATTTATTTTTAAAATAAGCATTTTCGAAGATATGGCCTAAATATAATAAAGGAAGTATTGCATCTCTCTGGGTTGTGACATCTTTTTGAGTGAAAAGAAATGCCTTACGTGCACATGTACAAACAGCATTCTACAGTTCCACCTCAGACATGGTGCAGGCGTTGGAGATGAAAGGCGTTGCATGAAGATATTCATTAGGTGAGGCCGATGAAAGAAGATTGGAACGAATGAAATAAATGAAGGGAAGGTAGAGGTCGTAGAGCAAAGACTTGGCATCCAGTTCAGTGATGTTGACGATAGAGTAGGGGCTGTGAGTTGTGAGGGGGAAACGCCACTGAGCTATAGGGAGGGTTTGGGACCATCTTCTGGGCATCAGAAATTCAGAGCTGGCAAAACAAAAACTGGAACACACGTGGTCACCTCAGACTAAGCCATCAATGCAAAACCAAATCGGATTTGCAATTATTTTGTCTGGGTTGTCGTCTCTTTTATGTGTTTACATCAAACCTCGTCTCTAACTAGCAGAGCTTAGATCTCTCCTACCTCGTCTCTCTCTGTCTCATCTCTTTAGTCTTTGCCTCAGATACAGCATTAATGTAGCTAATTAGGACCATAAATCCAGCTTTTTAATTGGCTATGCCGCCTAATCAAAGGGCTTCCTATTACAAGAAATGCAGAAACATTTGATGTAGACAACGCTTATATTAATCGTAGAAGTACGTAGCTACATGATCCGTGATGAGGTTCCATTCCATCCATCATTCTAAGCTGTTTCAGTTCTGGCATGACTGGTAGTACTATGGTAGTAATATATTCGACCAACCATTTCTTGTTTTGTTGGACCACATGTACAGTTATAAGGTTGACAACTGTTCATTCGGGTCTGGCCCAGGGACCCGACGTGTTCTTCAACAATGATCATCTCGGCCCACGGCCCTGAGCATGCACCAAGCTACTAGCTTTAGCTACACGTATAGTGAGTGTGTCCAAGGCAAACTTGGTTGATGATAAAAAGATATTAATGGGGCCAATGAATGGTTTGGAGTTTGGACTCTCTCTCTCTCTCTCTCTCTCCATGTTGCAGTATAGGGCTCACGAGGGCCTAGCCAGCATTAGGGTGATGACAAACAGGGTCACCTTCATGCTGTAAATCCATAATGGTCTTTATAGTAAAATTTCGGCCCAATATTTCAAAGGACTGGATTT